GTCAAGAATTAATGAAATTAAAAATAACAAAGTCATAAACGCATTTTCAGTGTTAGAATGCTCAGAAAGAAGATGCATGAAAGTTTCTTTTAGTAGTGAGGGTTCTCATATTACACTAAAAGTCTTTTGATCTTTAGTTCGTCAATTTGGAATATTTCAGGACACCATTTTGGTGTTAATTAGATTTCACACATTATAGACGAGTGTTTCAGGGTATAACCCTATAGAATCCCAAAGCCTGTGTTCAGATACTGAGTTCACCAATTATAGGGCGATGACTATGAGCAAGTTTCTTAACTTCTCTGTGCCTTTTTCTCATTTGTAAATGAGAAGCAATTGTATAATACCTCAAAGTGTCATTGTGGTGACTAAAACAGTAATGTATGTTGATTATTTAGGTCATACTTAGGTGTTAACTATCAGTATATATAGTTTTAAAGATTTATTCATTTATGCACACAGAACTGGGGTACAGGCCAGAGGTGCAAGGGTATTGAGAGGATTCACCAGAGACAGAGTGGGCAGCAGAACAGGCTGAATGATGAAGTACAGTGCTGAGGCGAGCAGTGGGCAGGTCAGAAGAAGTCTGCCGCACCATGTGGGTCACCTCTTGGGTGGGGATCGAACTCATGCTGAAGTGGCTTTAGGTTCTTAGTAGCTGTACCACCAGGGAGGGCCCAACTATCGATATTTTTAAAGTAATATAAAAACTTTCTTCAAAGTAACCTATGTACCAGCACTTTTCTGTATTCTAAACATAGCCATACTTGAGGTTTTAGTAAGAGCTATTAATCACCTACCCTGTACTAGGAATTATGCCAGGTACCTGAAATATGAAGATGAATTAGATAATATTCTTCCTCTTAGGGAAAACTGAGTAGACATGATACATTGTTATAATACAAGATGTCAAATTCTAATGGTATAGGTTTACTTAGATTGTTATGAACTCAAATAAAAAAAGGCCAATTTTTCAAAGATGAAAGAAGGTCAGATTTTTTTTTTTTTTACATGGCAGACTACTTTTAAGCATGCATGGAGCAATATGCACCAAACGCTCCAGAAAATAAAAGTGACTCAAGGGTTTAATATCCAATTAGATTACTCTTCATATCTGGAGATTATAAATAAACAATTTTAAAGAATAAAAATGAGGGAAACCGTCTTAGGAAATGTATAATCAAACCAAAGGATTAGTAGTTATTGAAGGAAAATGACAAACCGAACACTGTGCAGATAAAATCAGCATCAGAGTGATGGATCAGGATGAAAATAACATATGTCTCAAAAGGGTAGAAATAGGACCTATAGTAAGAAGAAAATAAGAGTACAAAGGATGCAAACTGATTGTTTTATTAGTACTTAGAATCAAAGAATGTAAGTCAAAACCACTACATCAAGTATTAGATCTTTAATCATAATTTAGAAATAAATACTTAAAATATTTATATGAAAGTGAAGTGGGAGAAAATAGAAACATTTCTTTTAAAAATCAGTTTTATGTAGGGTACTAATGAATACTTTTAAAGGAAATATAGGTCAAGCATTACTTAAATTTAAAAATAGAGAGGTGGTCACTAGAACCAAATAGATCATTTTTCTAAATAACAGAAAATACTCCATAAAGTTGTTCCCTTACCCTGAAAGTCCAGGGTTGTGCCAAAAGTTAGAAAAGGGTAAGGAATAGATTATACCCATGAACCTCCAAAGAGCTCAGTCTTGCCAAATGTCAGACTTCCTGTTAACAGAGCTACAGAGAAAACATTTCTGTTATTTTAAGCTAGCCAGTTTGTTTTAGCTTGCTGTGGACATCCTTCGGAAACTAATGTGATGAAATTAACTTAAAAATCAGCTCGCCAGAAAGGACCAGGGAGCGGGGGTGGGAGGAATAAGAATAATGAATGTCTCTGGTATATGTACCAGAGACATTTTATGGGGGTGAAGTGGGGAGTGGGGTAAAAAATGGGGAGTGCACAGTACTGTGGTGATGGCACACAGGTGAATTGTGATGAGAAGCCCATGGGGATTACAACTGAGATGGAAAAAGGCACAAAATGATGTAAAAATAAACTATTGCAACAATGAAAAATATATTTTAAAAAGCAGCTCACATATTAAACAGTCTCACCTGTGAATACAAGTGGGAACATCCAAGCATCATTCCAGTAAAATGAAGCACATCACAAGGGAGGTTATTTCAGGAATGCTTGGATGGTTCAGTATTAGTACAACAGGTCTCTTAGAGAGAGGCATCTTTTATTTGTCTCACACTTTTTGATATAAGCAATGGCATATGGTCAAATCCAATTTTAATTTTCTATGACTGGAGTCGCCAATACAGATGGATGTCATATCAGTTGGTATTTACCTATTGTTTTATTTGATTTGATCTGGTTACCACTAATATTTGACTTATCTGATTACCCACCATGAGGTTGTACCACTGCTGGATAAAATATAAGACACCTAGTGGAATTCCAATTTCAGAGAAATTAATTTCTCAGTATAAGTATGTCCCCTGTGATAATGGGCACATGTTCTAATAAATGTAATCTTTGTTTATCCTAAATTCAAACAGCTGATCATTCAACATTTCAACTTACTGAATTTGGCAACACAAAATATAGCAAGTATTTAGAATGAGCATCAATAATAAGGTAGTTTTTACTATAATTGTAACATGAACAAGGATTTACCACCTATTATTTATAAACATAATCTTGCAATATCAAGGATCAATAACTAGGTATAATTTCTTCTCAGTTGTTCCATACTAGCAACTCAGCACTCCCACTTTCTCTTCATAAATAAGGTTGTTAAGATATTTCCATTTGCATTAATTCATTCGCTTTGAAATTCCTGGTCCAACCTTAAATAATCCTCTCATTCCTTAGTGGCTCCAGATGGGTCCCTATGCATCCATCTGCTAGTCCTGGCAAACAAGTCTCTCAAAATAATTTTCCCTGCCTGGGGTAGTTAAATATATATTAGGTGATCGTAAACATGAAGCCGTGTGTCCACATAAACAGCCTGCACCTTAGCAGGAGGGAACCGTGTGTTAAGACAAATAACACCTAACTTGCCAAGGGACCTGGTAAAAAATAGAAAAAGGCATGCCTGTCATCTTGAATGCACAGCTTGACAGTAATATCTGATAGGGTAGCGGTAGCCAAAACTACCTCACAAATGTCATCGAGAGGCAGAAGGATGAACAACCTACAACTGTAAATAAATAAAGATGTATGTTTCATGGTCCCATGTGATCATGAGAAAGCTATGTTCAACATCTCTAGTAAAGTATGCATAATCTGTAATTTTTAAATTTTAATGTTTCCAACACTCATGTTCAAGCAAAAGAAGTACACTCATATTAGCCTATCAGGCCATATGCTGATTATAAATAATGACATTAATTTTAAATAAATAGCAAACCTGCCAAATTGTTGTTTTCCATGATGAACGTGCCCAGAATCTGACAATTTGTGCTTCTCTGAGTCCAGGGGCCACATCCTTCCACCCCCTTCATGACACCAGTTCTAGGAAAGGTTATTTAAATCAAGGACAATTTATTGAATTAGTCAAAGACAGATATGCACTCACTGATGCTAAGGAGAAAGGAGTCAAGGAAAGAAAAAGTGTAATAAATCTGTGGGTCCAGCTACGAATTAAGCAACTGAAGAAGATGGATGTGAGTTTTAGTGGTTCTTTCCCAGATTATGTGCCTTCAAATGGAAAAAGGCTCCCTATTGGGGGTCACAGTGCCTAATCAATTAGCCTGTCTTGAAAATACATAAATCAACAGTGAATAGCATTTGATCATCTATAAATATACATCCATTGTATATGGTCCACTGTTGATAATTTGAGGTTTTAAGGTTTTTAAATTTCTTCTCTCATAAAGACTTTTGAAAATATTCAAATACCTCACCCATGTTCCTGGAGAATTTCTAATTTCTAGGTTCTTTATAGTTGATTTAGCCATAAAGTGGTATGCAATCTCCATTTCTGGAAAGTCTAACTTAAGGCAGTTAGAAGAAATAAGGGAAATTATCATTGTGGGACTGTTGGCTCTATTTATAAAATCCTGTTAAGGACACATTTTTTTTTTAAGATTTATTTATTTGTGCATACAGAACTGGGGTACAGGCCAGAGGCTCAGGGTCGGTGAGAGGCTTCACCAGAGACAGAGTGGGGAGCAGAACAGGCAGATCGACGAAGTACACTGCTGAGGGGAGCAGCGGGAGGGCGGGTCAGGAGAGGTCTGCCGCGCCATGTGGTCACCCCGGGGCAGGCGGGAATCGAACTCTTGCTGAAGTGGCTTTAGCTTCTCAGTGCTGTGATTTAACCCGCTGCGCCACCAGGGAGGGCCCAAGGACACATTTTTTTTAACATAATATTTTTTATTTTATAAATATATTTTTTAACATTATTCTTTGTTTTGTGCCTTTTCCATCTCAGTTGTAATCTCTGTGGACTTCCCACCACCATTTCACCCCTGTGCCATCACCATAGGCCCCTGTGTTCTTCCCATCCCAGTTTTCATCTTATTCCGCTTCCTCCCCACAGAGTGTCTCTGGTTTAAGTTAGTTGATGTTCTTTTATACTTTGTTACAATTAATATATATAAGATTCCAAATTTAAAACCAGCAAGGTGAAAAATAACTATTAATGACAGGAAATAAATTGTTTCAAAACAAAACACACACCAAAAAAAAATCAACCTTGTTTTTAAAATCAAACAGATTGGTGAAGAGAAGATAGCCAAAATTACTATAAAAGAGTCTCCAAAGAGTGATATTTGCTTGTCTGTGGGGAAGAAGTTTAGCTGTCTTATATAAGTGATGGCAAAGCCAATTGACTCACTTGTGACTCTCCATGATTTTTGCCTCAGATGTTATGAAAATTTCATACTTTCACATCGAAAGTAGAGGAAAATGGAAAGAAAATGCAAAGTGATGGTAGTCACAATAGTGAATAAGTGTTTTTTTTTTCCCCCATAGCCACTGAACTATGAGAAAAAGAAATCTTATACCCTCAACATAGAAGGAGCCAACACACATCTTGATTTTCGATTTTCTCACTTGGGTCCTTTTAAAGACGCCACTATGCTGAAGATCATCGTCGGTGATGTCGATGAGCCCCCACTGTTTTCCACACCTTCCTACGTCATGGAAGTCTCCGAAAATGCCAGGATTGGAACTGTCGTTGGCACAGTTATGGCTCAAGATCCCGACAGTGCCAACAGCTTAGTAAGGTACAGTACACGTTCAACCTTTCAGAACCACAGTCTCAGATTACCTCTTACAGCTGTTCGCAAAATACTTAAAATATTTTATTCCTGTTATTTTTTGCTCTTATATCTTACAATATTAAATGATACTCTGATAAAGAGTTTCAAATTAAGAGTGTAGAAAGCTCCATGAATATATTGGTAGTATTTCCACATGATGTGAGCATAATTTGGAAATTATGCTGAAATGTGGGTGGTCAGAATTATTGACTTACAAACTAAAGAATCTTTGTTGCTTAGTGAACAGAGTCTAAGGGTTTAAGTCTGTTTATCTCTGATTCCTGGTTTGATAGAATAGCTATATGTCTTGAGGAACTCCTCCATCATTTGTAAGGAAATTATTTCTTTTTGTTGTTTTAACTATTTAGTTTTATACTTTTTGTTTTACTTTTGGGGATCCATTTTTGCACTTGCATATGAATGCATGCCAATTCACCCTCCATACACTACTTGGGCAATTCCCATCTGCCGCCCTCCTCCAAGTCCTTCTCCAATTCCCACTGCACCCTTTAGCTCCTTAATATCTGTCTCTCCGTGTTAGTGTGAGAACACATGAACCGTAGGCATGAGGGGCTGAGCAGAGGCATCTGCACCTAGTGCTCACTCAGTGGACGCTAAGGTGTTCAAGGCAACATGGATTTAGAGACTTCTAGAATCTTGATATTCTAGCTGTATGATTTCATGTTCAACCTTGCTGCATTGCACATTGCCAGATTATGAACAAAGGATAATAATGCTGCCTGAATGTATTGATATAATGAATTAGATTGAAATAAAGGCCTTAACATAATGCCAAGGACATAGTACTCACTAAATCATATTTTAGTATTTCATGCTCTAGAGATAATTAAAACTTCTTTATATAATCAAACGGCATGTAGTTTTTGTCTCATTTATGACAAGGTCAAAGAGCTGCATTAATGTCTACCTTTATTTTGTAACCTTGCTTTTCAACCCTTGTGTAATCCTCAGTCTCTAAAAAGTTTGAAATCTTTGACAGTTCTCTCTGCTTTGTCCCAGCAAGTATTTCACTCTCTTTAGTTTTCATCCATTTTAGAAAAGCTATATGGTAATAGTCTCGTCAGTATCGATCTAGTGTTATAAAATTCCCAAATTCTTTTTAGACAATCATGATTATTTCAGATTATTTTAAATAGCCACAACACCCATGCTTGGAGAAGAACATTTTTTGGAGCACAGATGTCCAGATTCAGCAATCCTTCGTCTGTGAGTGCTTAAACAGAGTCCTGAGGACTATACTGCTACACTGACAGCTGGAGACAAAATAGGGGGCCTCTCTGGTGGCATAAAAGGTTAAATCTCAGCACTATCAGCAGCCACTGCAGCACAAGCTTGAGCCCTGGCCAGAGGGCTGACCCACGTGGTGCAGCAGACCTCAGCAGACCTCTCCTGTTACCCCGCTCTTACCTCAGCAGTATATTTCACTAGATCCACTCCTTCTGCTCCCCATTCTCTCTCTGGTGAATCCTTCACCTCTGGCCTATATCCCAGCTCTTGTGTGCATACACAAATAGATCTTAAAAAATAAAATAAAATAAAGAGCCAGGATGGGCAAAGTATTCAGAACAATTTGCCTAAAGGCAGCTGTGCAAACTGTCCTCTGATGAACAAATTGACTTTGATGTGAAGATGCTTGGTTGTCCAGCCAGAGGAAAGCCCTCCACACTACACAGAGCGCCACCATTCAATGACACTCAATAAGTAAAATTTTTCTAATGATATGTATAAAGCTATAGTATTACAAAACCTCTGTGCAAATGCGATCAGTTTTTCCCAAAAGGAGCTAGCAGCTTTTGAGAATGAAAATATTTCATCCTGTGAAATTATTTGATAAAACTTGGTGAGACTTTCTTCTGAAAAGTAAAATTTGAAATGAATGATACATTCCATACTTTTTAATTAGATATTTGGAAATAACATGAATGCTTTAAAGTGATATAGGAAGCAAACTATAATAGGTCGATATTACAACAGTCCTCATGAAAAAGTAGTTAAACATGTGAGCATGCATGTACACACATGCATGCATGGGACTGTTCAAAATCTGGATAGAGAAGTTGAAAAAATGATAAAGGTATATATAGTTGTCCTCAGAGAAACAGTGCCAGACATTTTCTGAAGGGAATGAGGGGAGGAAGTTTGAATTGAGACTCAGAACCCAGTATAGAATTTTTGAGAGTCAGAGGAAGGAACTGTGCTTGTTGCTTAGATTGCCTTTGTGGGGATAGCAAGAAAGAGGTTGGAGAGAAGCTAGATACAGATATCGCAAATGGTTTGTGTTAAACTGGCATATTTGAAACGTATCTTAGCAGCATTTTCCGCGGGGTGAATGAAACAGAAATGTGTGAGTAGCTTTAGTGGTGAACTTGATGTAGTATGCACATGTTGATTTGTAATGATGCACACCTGAAATTTACATCATGTGACAAAGCAGTTATTTTGGAAACATTGAAACAAAAACAACTTGTAAAACATGATAGGAAGTTTTACGTTTTAAGAGATATACGACAAGTTTTCAAAACTAGGAAGTATAGAATATGGGTGCTAAGATGGTAGGCTTAGGAAAACTGAGGTCAAGAGCAAAGACAAATTTCTTTCACTGTTGATCCATGTAACCTATACAGACAAAAATACCCTTTCCAGACAGAACAGTAGTTTGCACCCAAGGACAAATCCCCAGGGGACATCAGTTGATATCTGAAGACATGTGCACCCACCACCCCTGGGAGAGAAATGCACCTTTGTTCTCTGTAAGCAAAGGCAGGGATAATGTTGAACCTCCTGAATTAGCAAGGGAGTCCCTGCACAAAACAAAAGCAAACAGGATGGTAAACCAGTAAAGCTGGAATGCTGATGACACTCAAAAATCAATTCTGAAAAGATAATTTTGGAAAATACATACCAGGCTGTCTGATTCACATAGACGCAAAGTCATGTGAATGGTTTACATGTATATTTTGTATTCTACAAGAAATTAGTTATACATAATTGACGGTTCCATAATGTCACCCATTGCCTCAGTAATTGTTTCCAATCATCGACAACAGGTGATGGGACACATGTTTTGGTACATACATTCTCCCACTTGTTGGGATGTAAAAATGATTGTCTCTAAATGCTAATGCAGAGAAGTACAAATCCATTAGCATCTGCATTATTCTTTTTGCTTTGGTTAGACAACTACAATGAATCCTTGTGAAGCTGCCTTAAAATAATTAGACTCCATAGTTACTGTTTGGGGGCATAATTTACATAATATTTATTCTTGATTTTAATAAAAATGTGTCATTCACACGGGCCTCTAGGTGCAAACAGTGAATAAAAAACAGAAAACATTAACAAACACAAAAGCAAGCCTTCTACTTCCACCTTTCTTAGGGACCAAATGTTTGTACTAATTAAGAAAAGCACATTGAAAAGATGAACCTTCCATGTGCCCTGAAAAGCAATTAACTCCAAGTTTGTAGAATTGATAATGAAAGGGAGTTTGAGTCTTACAGGCATTTGTGAAAAGCTTCCTGACTTCAGTCTTTTGTATTTCAATTTTCTAAACGATTAGTGAGACTCTTCAGATTTCTAAGAGCATCCTGTGTCTAGTTTTGTCTCTTTCAACTCAAAACAAGAATGTGCAATTTGCAACAATATAATCATCACCTTTTTAAGAAGCAAAATCAGAACTGGGCTATTTCCAAGTTGTGAAGAAACCCTTGATTTAAATAGGCTGTACTTACTTGCTGATAGACTGCAAATGGAATCTGGAACCTTCCTGAGTAGCTACTGAGAAATGAGCAATCCCAATTTGAAACTAAGCCACTATAAAGCTTTCTGGTGTGATTTTATGCCATGTGTCTGCTAAAAAAAATAGTGGCCGCTTATTGTTTATATCTGTGGACCCTAAGTGTTTTTTTTTCCCCCTTTGAAGAAATATTTTCAATTCAGTTAATATTGGTTGGCATCATTGTTTCCATAATAAAACTGTATCTATGGAAACCAGTATGAAGGTTTCTCAACAGACTACCACTGAGTCTGTAGTGTGACACAGTGGTTCTGCTCCTTGGTATCTACCAGAAGAACATAATGGCACAAATTCAGAAGGAAACTTGCTCTTGTGTTCATTTCAGCACTGTTTGCAATAACTGGGATATGGAAATAGTCTAAAGGCTCCAAAACAAATGAATGCATTAAGAACACTTGGTCATATATTAATGGGTATATATGGGATATATGTACACACATGTTTGTGTACCTGTGTGTATGTTTGTATGTGGAGTACTACTCAGCTATCAAAAATATGTAAGGATGGAACTGGAAGGTCTACTACTAAGTGAAATCAGCCAAAGGAGAAAGACAGATACCAAATGATATCACTTATATGTGACATAGAGGAAAACAAAGCAGAGGGTTTGATAAAGCCTGACTAATACACCAACCCATGAAACTCTGAGCTTTTGAACATATTCCAAACACCCTTCAAGCCCTAGAAGTCTGCATTGATTGTATCATTTTGCAGATGAGAAAATGAAGACTCATAAAATTAATTTGCCAAGTTGTCATAGTGATAGAGTGACAGATCCAAAATTTAAATTCAAGTTTGTTTTACTTAAAGACCCCCATGTTTAAAGTCACATGCTATTCATACATTTCAGCTAGTAATAAAAGTTTAAACCTTATTTTTTGCAAAGTTCTAGTAGAACCTTATGACCCGGTGACATCTTCATGAGGCCATTGATTAAACTGGTCCCCACCATCCACTTTGCGAGGACACTGTGCTCTGGGAAAAGGGGTGCCGAAGACAGCCATGTCTCCCTGAGTTCTATCCCTCTCTGCAACAAAATTGTTCTTAGCTGGAGAGTTTCTTCAGAGGTCTGATAGTTGATTTGTTTCAAGAATGTGAAAGTTACTGATGCCCCCAATTAATATTTCACAAGATGAGGAGCTTTAAA